TTCTCACAACCTAGACCGGGTGTTTCACTGCCTAGTCGGTATGACTACGCCTTCAGAAGCACAGCCACAATGTCACAATCTTTTGACAAACTGCTTATCCTGGGCCAGTTCCTCATATTAGCAATATATCGCTAAATAATTCTTTACAGTTCAAAATTTGTGATTAAACAGTCGAACCTCATTCCGTTGAAATCGTGGGGGCCTGGAAAAAGTTCGAGTTATCCATGGTTCGAGGCATTAGGGGAATTTAGGTTTAATTTGGACACTTAGGTATCCCAAATGAGTTCGAGACAACTAGGAATTCGACACATCCAAGTTCGACATAACAAGGTTCGACTGTATTAAAATTCTACTTTAAGAGAACATCCAAGGAAAGTAATCACTGTTAATGTCAGCCCTCAACGCAAATAGTTATCCGCTAATAATGATATGTTTCCTGCATATTAATCACATTTTTACAAAGTTTCAAGCTAACGATCGTGCTAGTTCTTGCTACATTGAATGCTTTCGTTTGGTTTTTAACCTGAGCTGCCAACAGCTAAATATGCATTTTGAAGTAACAATAACGATAACGTTAACTTCCGCTGCAACATGAACAAATAAGGTAGCATTATAGTTACATACCCAGTGTGTGGTTAGCCAACAGTCTGTTTAAAAGATAACCTAGGTGTGTAAATTTTAACGGACATTTAACCAACCGCTAAAGATATCCACGATTTCAGAAACAACATAAACGTTCGTTAAATTCAACGGAGATATAACTGACGTAACTGCTCGTTAAAAGTTGTAATTGTAATTGTTTTATTCACAAAAAGTGTTAGGCCGTAGGCCTATTACACAGAACTATTTACAGAGAGAGGGAGAAAAAAGAATTACCACTATTTTACATATATATCCATATCCATACACATTCATACACATACGCATGCATATATACAAATAAATATTTAGACTGTATGTAATGACCGAAGTCGAAAAGCTTTGTAAACGTAGACTGCTAGATTTCTTATGATTTTAAAGTTAGTGGATGACATAAGAGCATTAAATATATTTTTAGAAGGGGTTGTAAAATATTTAGGAGGAATGTATTCAGCTCTCAAATCACTATAAGCATTGCATATAAGCACAAAATGATATTCGTCCTCAATAAAATTCTGGTTGCAAATCAAACACAGTCTCTGTTCTCTAATTTCCTTAATATATCGACCGGTCTCAATTCGCAGCCGATGGGAGGAGCATCTCAACTGAGCAAGTGCAGCTCTGAATTTTGAAACATTTACTACCTTGATATAGCTTTCTAAGCCAAATGAAACTTTGTAAAGAGAGTAACTTTGGGATTAAGTGCTAGATGAAACAGCTGCATGCCAATCTTGCTCAGACGAGGCTTTTAAACGGTTTACAAATTCCGAAATAAAACTTCTACTATTATTACACCGTATAAAAGAATTGGAGATATTTTAGAATAATTTTTTTGAAAAACAAGTCATAAGGTTGAAGCATTTTAAGAGATTTAATGACACCAAATAGGACCATTTTAGCTTGTAAAGCAGCACTATTAACATGCAAAGACCAGGAGAGAGTTTTTGAAAGAATGGTACCGAGATATTTATAAGAACTTACACATTGAAGTTTTTGACCCTTGCAATACCACTTTTCATATTTTGATAAAATACCCCCATTTTTAAATACCACTACCTTAGTTTTATCTAAGTTGACTGTTAGATGATAGTTACTACAAAATTTTCCAGAGCTTTTATGCGTTTTTGAAGGCCATACACAGTATCAGCAATAAATGCAACATCATCAGCAAACAACAATAAAAAAATCTGTACAGTGTCAGGGTGTAGCTGTACACCTGGAGTGCATGTTGATTCTATATACAAAGATAAGTCGTTTATAAAAATAGAAAATAAAAATAGACTCATTTCCCAGCCTTGCCGAAGTCCTAGAGGGCAATCAAAACATTCTGTAAAACAATTTCTGATCTTTACACAGCTTTTAATACAGGAAAAGATGGATTCTAATGCATTTAACATTTTTTGGGACACACCTCTGGATTTAAGAGTGAGTGAGTTGTGTTTAACGCCGATTTTAACAGTATTCCAGTTATATCGCGGCGTGTCAGCTTAATGTGGGAGGAAAGCCCGAAGTGATGCAGGTCTCAGACGTTTATCACTTCCGTGAAACCCACGAGCACGTGTATGGTGCTGACAAACCTAGAAACATAATCAGGGCGAACCGGGATTCGAACCAACAATCATAGGTTTCTGGCGTGTCCACGGGACGCAACTCTGCACAGCGAATCGCGGCGCCTTAGACGGCTGGGCCACCCGTGCCCCCTCTGGATTTAAGAACTAGCCATAGTTGAGATCTATTTACAAAATCGAAAGCCTTTTTAAAGTCAACAAAAAGAACATATAATTTACCACGCTTCTTAGACAGATAATGCTGGATTACAGACTGCAGAATAAATATATTATCAATAGTACTATAACCTTTCCTAAAACCAGCTTGAGAGTCACAAATTTTATCATACGCATCAGAACACGCAACACGTAAGTCTTGAATTAAGTACAGATACATAAAGTTTACAAAAAGTGCTGAGCAAGGAGATACCACGGTAGTTATTGGGGTTTGAGTAATCGCCCTTCTTATGCAGAGGTATGATAACACCAGTACACCACGACTCGGGAAACGAACCATTTTCAAATAAAATGTTAAACAAGGTTGTTAGGTATGATACTATTAAATCACTTGATGCTTTGAAAAATTGAGAAATAAGAAAATCATTTCCTAGCGACTTACAGTTTTTTAATTGATTGATAGCTTGCAACACCTCGTCTTCAGTTATACGGCTGTCAAGGATAAAACATGTGACATCATCAAAAGGATAATCTACACCATCTTCTATAGTATCATGAGAGAAAACGGTATGCATATCTTGGAATAAGTTTTTTAAAATGCGAAAACCAGTCACTAATGGGGATAGACGATTCCCTTTCTTCAACACCAGTGTATTTTCTTAACATTTCTCAAAATGTTTTGCAGTTATTGATATTGGATGAAAGTCTGTCACGAATCAAATCATTAAAAGCTCTTTTCTTACACCTTACGATATCCATATATGTTTTACGCTGCAGTGAATAGGCTTGTAACGAAACATTATTCTTTTTCCTATTAAAAACATCTAGTAGTCGGAAGGCTTTTCTTCTGTGATAACCACATTCTTTATCAAACCACGGCCTGTCGCGTCCATGTCGCTGAACAATCATACGCTTTGTAAAATCTGCTGCCTTCAACAAAGCGTCCGTAAATTTACTAATTGCTGCATTTATGTCTGTTAATGCTAATGTAATACAATCATCAAACAAATGCTTAATTTCATCACATGAGACATTTTCTCTTAACCGATCACCAAAGTTATCACGCCAAGTATAGTTAATACAAGCTTTCGGCTTCACATTCTCACCCGACATAGCATTGTCAATTTCAGTATCACGTCACTGAAAGGTACAATTGATTGGTTAAAAGTTAACCAGTCTTGAACAACCCCGCCCCTGTGCTACTAGATAGCCCAAACGGTGCAAATTGAAGCTGTGTTTTGTGTACATTGTTAGAGAAATTGACCAGAGTTGAAGGTTTTATTCTGGAGACAAACAAGTACTTTCACGATCACTGGCTCTGTATCCAGCATAGTGCAAAACTCATTTCACTGTTGTAACAGAGATAATCAATCAATTGCAATAAATCATTGTAAAGATTGGGACCAGCAAAATATATTCTATCCGAATAGTTGACATCGGAAGTGATCTCTGAATTTGAAATATTTCCGTAAGCAGTAAACGTCATAGTAGCCTATTATATCACATTATGTCTCATTCTGATGAAGTTCAACAACTTAAAAGTTCAGCAACATAAAAACGACCTCTGTCCGTCACTTTTCGTTTCCAGATAAACTATTCAATGTATTTTCGTTATGAAACTTTGTATACGCATTACACATGGGCAGAACGTTTCCAAGGAAACAAGTTGGATCGTAGTTGAGTATATGATTCGTTTCTTGAGAATAACTCATTAGCCAAATCTTACACCCTACAACCCTCTGTGGACAGTGGTCAGACTTGGTGACTTAGCTGCTTGTGTGACATCGTACCCTAACAGCGTTGGACGTTACTCATACTATTAATCATTGGACTTATTTTCAAGCTGCTGGAATAAAGCTGGAATACTGCTGAGCGCTATATTAATTTACAAACAACCGTAATATCTAAATGGACGGGAGATATCGATAGCTATTTCTTCTGATTGTCTGTCCCTCTCATTGTGCAAGTTTGGTTGATTTGATGACAATGTTTTATCTGACAATTATTACCAAAGCAATCTGACTTCTTTATTTATACACGGCGACACACACAAATTATTTTCCAACAAAATATTTATCCGTTAATGACAAAACTTGAATAGTTTACATGTATCTCTTAATGTTGATTGTTACAATGAGTTGTCAACAAATATATGTTTTTTGTAGCATCATTTCCAGATACAAACATCAATTCGTCTTACTGTACATGGCAATGTGGTGACACGTTTGTCGAGATGTCCAGAGGTAATACACGTACATGTGTCAGTAAGGCAAACCCTGCTTACCTTTTATACAAGTCTGTAAAACCTTACTGTACATATTTGTCAAAGATATAGTCATGTTGATTATCCATCAGAAAAAAATGTCGTAGTGTGAGTATTATATATTTGAGTATTATAGTTTGTCCCACTGGGCTTGGGAATTTAGTGACACGTTTGTCTGCGGGTGAACCTTGTGTACGTACATGTATCAGCTGAGGCAAACCTGTGCTTACCTTTCATACATGTTTGTCCTTACTTTACAAATCGCTATCAGTGTTATTTATATGTCTGTCATATACCTATTTTCCAAGGATAATTAAATAAGTGTCATGTTAATTACCCACAAGTACAAATATCGTAGTGTGACTGGAACCTACCCAGTATGAGTTGAATCCACCACCCTGACACAGCCGCAGTTAGTATCAGCCACCTCACACCCGCCATGTTTGTGAACGAGGAAGTTTTAACATTAAAATGATTTGTGGACAAGAATGAAGGGACCTTTACAGTTATTACTATCATTTCACCATATCTCTTATACATGGTTAACAAAACCCTATACACTCATTTCGACAAGAGCACGTGGTCTATTTACATAGGCAGGGGTATATCTAATATCAATACACAGTATCCTCGGATGCTCAGGCGTAACACAAATCTCACTTCTCCTTACCAACAATGAAAAAGCGAATGTATGAAAAGGAAGTAAGACACTTATCAGTGTATGCTGTATTTTGCTGTAAGTTAGTTTTTGCATTTCTACCACACTCAAATGCTCTTCAAAATAACAATCACAACTGCTCCACCTAAATTCTCATTTTACACTACGTTTATACACCACACACAAAGTCTCACTACACATCATGATTCACGCCATGTTCAGTGGCAAGGAAGTACAATATTGACTCGAATCTATTTATAGGGGAAAATGAACAAAGTAAGAGGAAAACCCTTGCAAATTTTATTGATGCATAATAACAACAGAGGGTCGACAGAGGGTGCAACACTTGAGAAACGAGATAAAGTGAACATAGTTGATTTAATATTCCACTTAGCAAGGAAACAGTGGTGTTAGGACATACGCCGCACAACAAACATTAACACAGATTCTTCCGTTCTGACGCATTAACTTATAAACTAATGTCATCTGATTGAGAGGAAAGACCACATTATTATAAACATGTGATGCCCTAACGAAATTGCTATCCCTCACTGGTACGGAAGTAACGTGAGTGAGTGAATGAGTGAGTGAGGTGAGGTGCTGTGAGGTGCTGTGAGGTGAGGTGAGTGGGTGGGTGATTTATTGATTGAGGTGAGGTGAGGTGAGGTGAGGTGAGGTGAGTTGAGGTGAGGTAGGTGGGGTGAGTGAGTGGGTGGGTGATTTATTGATTTATTGATTGAGGTGAGGTGAGGTGAGGTGAGGTGAGGTGAGGTGAGGTGAGGTGAGGTGAGGCGAGGCGAAGCGAAGCGAAGCGAAGCTGAGCTGAGCTGAGCTGAGCTGAGCTGAGGGAGGAAGGGTGGTAGGGTGGGAGGGAGGGAGTGCGGGAGGTGGTGGGTCGGTGGGTTGGTGTGTCAGTGGGTGGACGGGCGGGTTGATTGATTGATTGATTGATTGGGTTGGGGTGGGGTGGGTTCGGTTGGGGTGGGAGGGGGTGGGGTGAGTGAGTGAGTGAGCTGGGGTGGGGTGGGGTGGGGTTGGGTGAGGTGGGGTGGGGTGGGGTGGGGTGGGGTGGAGTGGAGTGGAGTGGAGTGGAATGGAGTGGAGCGGAGGTGAGTGAGTGAGGGAGGGAGGGAGGGAGGGAGGGAGGGGCGGGTTGAATGAGTGAGTGAGTGAGTGAGTTTTAACGCCGCTGTGTAAGGTATTTTTGTCACAACACTGAGTGTCAAGATCAGCTTACTGTGGGAGAAATTATGTAACCCAGGCACACCGGTATGGTGCTGATAAACGCATTACATAATCCGGCGAAAGGGAATTCAAACCCACGATCATAGTTTTCTCGAGTGCCCAAGGGGCGCAACTATGCACTGCGACTGGCGGCGCATAATACAACTGGGCCACCCGTATGACCGGATGTGACAGAAACTCTAAGATAAATGTGTCTTTTACCCCTTACTGTCGTGGCTACATAGTCGACACTACGACTATATTGTGCATATTATGTACTGGAACGGTGTTGATAGTATTTCCCTCAACATATTCTGAAAGGGAATATTTGAAAAACCTAACAGGATATGAATTGTAAGGAAGAGCTTAGAGTACGACTGAGTGGCCTAAATGTGCTATGACAACACTTTATGCACTTGTGTGGCGTTTGATATAGTGACTCATCCCATTTGATGAGCGGATCCGTGTGTATGAACGAACGACATGCTCGTACACCTCGACAGCCTTGGAAAGAACACATGGGCTTCTTGTATTCGTACATTGCTTTTCACATATGGCTTTGGTTACATTTGGCTGTCCCAGACAATTGGTAATGCAAATGTTTTCATTAAGTACTTTCGCATGCGTGCCATTGACATGTTTCATCAGAAATGGCATTCAGATATTTATGAAAGTTCAAGATATGATACTTATTGCCAATTCAAGTCATTGCTAGAGCCAGAATCCTATTTATCAAATTTACGGTACAGGAATTCTCGTAACACCCTTATTCGTTTTAGACTTGGCCTGAATGATCTAAAAATTGACACAGGGAGATTTTCATCTATTGAGAAATCGATACGATAATGCCCATTTTGTGACTTTGTTGTCGAAGATGAATACCATTTCATGTTTATTTGCCCTATATACGAAAATCTAAGAAACAAGTACTTACCGCAGTGGTCTCTATCTCATTTTAATGCTAAACGATTGTCTTCATTACTTACTGTCTTGCAAGGATCTTATAACACAACATCAACTGGCTTTGTACATACATAATGCTTTTTTGTTACGAAGTGAATTGTTACCTTGACTTTGTATTTTATAAACAATGTTATGTAACTCCGTTGTATACGGGCCTGTGGCCTTTCATACAATAAAGAATTGAATTGAATTGAATGGATATACCAGATATTGAGTACACAAAGTCAACGATTCTGTGGAGAAGTGTTAGGATGTATCCATCTGTTATGGGCGCAGAACACACCTTGTTCATATCCAGGGCAACTTAACAGGTGTGAGTTATTGTGACGAGATCCTACGTCCTCACGTTCTCAGAGTGCAAGCGCTAGAGACACCATTATTCAACATGGCAATACTCTCAGAAAGCATAAGGCACTCGTGAAGAGCAACCTCCTCGTGGTGAGTGCTGGGTAACGCAAATCGCTCTTCCCCCGTGTGGAACCGGGGCAGAATATTTCCACAGCCCCCCATTGCTGGTCGTATGAGGCGACTAAAATGGGCAACCTGTTTGCCGTGGGTTGCGTCCCTGTGTCGGCGGAGGACGGGAGTCTGGTGGTTGAGGGCACTGGTTCCAGGAATAGCGTTCCTTTGCCCAATACACCACTTCGACCCTTACTTCGCCTAGACGGGTGGTAGGATGGGCCCGGTCCTATCAATCGGCTGGTCATGCCGAGCCCTGAGCACTTATTGTGTTTGTGATATATTGCCGATGTGACTGTATTGTACTTATATCACTTTTGATTGAACTTTCTACTTAAGGACTTGGCCAAAAAAAAATTGTGACAAATCTGGTATTTTGATTGTGGAAAATATAAATTGCCTAGAGTCGTATGCCCAGAAGGCGGTGGCTCATGGGCCAATCCGGTGGATTAATTGAATTGTCGTTAATCTACTTGAGTATACCATCCCAGTATCCTTGGTGCTGCCAGTTGGAAATCCACTGGCTTATAGCATTGTCCTTGTGATACTCCATGGTGGGTGGGGAGCTGGGATGGTGAACCATATACAACTTCACCATGGCTCAAAACAAAAAAACAAAACGTTCTTTAGATGATTCCTCTGATGAGGAACATGCCATTCCAAAGAATCTTTCTAATAGTTGGTCTCGATTTTTAGTCGTTTCCGCTGCTGATGGTTCACCATTGAAACTAAATCCTTTTGCCATTTCCAAAGCACTTTATGGCATTGCTGGTGATGTCAAAGATGTTAAAAAACTTCGGTCTGGATTACTGCTTGTTGAATGCAAGACTCAAAAGCAGTCTACAACATTACAAGCTGCTAATCTTTTGGTTTCTACTGCTGTACTCATTTCCCCACATAAAAGTCTTAATTCCAGCAAAGGGATTGTCAGAGATAGGGACCGTTGTCTCTATGATATGACTGAAAATGAAATTGCTGATGAATTACAAGATCAAGGTGTGACACATGTGAAATCCAACACTTATCTGATGACATTTTCAAAATCAGCTCCTCCAAAACATATAAAAGCAGGTTATTTTCACATCGAAGTGGACAGGTACATCCCAAATCCACTTCGTTGTTACAAGTGCCAGCAGTTTGGACACGGTGCACAATCTTGTAACAACCGCAAGATATGTCACCAATGTGGAGAACATGATCACGAAAGTGAGGTGAGGTGTACCAAAACACCTAAATGTGCAAACTGTTCAGGAGACCACGTGGCTTCTTCGAAGTCCTGTCCCAAATTTAAAATCCAGCATCAGATTGTGAAATTAAAACATGAAAGGAATATCACCTTCCTGGAAGCTAAACGGCTAATCATGGCTACTGTCTCTACACCTGCAGCTGTATCCTACTCAGCTGCTGTGTCTCGCACACATCCCAAATCCATGGCATCCGTTCAGTGCCAAACAGACATCACCTGGGTTTCCACAGCACACTACTCCTTGATTCAATCCAGTTCTTCTACTCAAACTGATACTTCATCACCATCAGCAACTGTGTCAACACCGTTAATGGTAGCAGCGCCGGAACTTGCTCCGGCTCCAAATCCATCCCCTGTTGTTAAAAATGCCATAAAAAAGGTTGATTATTCCAAAACTTCAGATCGTGTCTCAAAGGGTCATCGGGACCCGATTCAGATATACAATCGTTTTCAGACTCTGGAGGACATGGATGTCTCTCCTCATCTCCAAGGGCGCAACAGAAGTAAGTCGCCACGAAGTGGGAGAAATAGATCTCCCGTTCACCCACCAGTAACATGACCATTTACCATCCACTAGTACAGTGGAATTGCAGAGGTCTCAGGACCAATTTTAACGAGTTACACCTTTTAATACAAGATTTTGCGCCATCAGCAATCTGTCTCCAAGAGACGTATCTCAAAGAAACCGACACCTTTGATTTGCGCAGGTACAGTTCCTATAATTCATTTTCTCCACCAGGTGTTAAAGCTACTGGAGGATCTACTGTTCTGGTGAAGCAGGGAGTGATCCACAGCCCTGTTTCACTTCGTACTAATCTTCAAGCTGTTGCAGTGCGACTGACTTTACACATAACCTTTACTTTGTGTTCTCTGTATATCTCTCCTTCCTCTGTGCTTCAGAGATCA